GTTTAAGGGTAGCTAACATGGAATTTAGTAGGTTTATAAACGGGAATCATTCCAAACCACACAATCTACCCTATCTATCGCCGTTTCCTACGCCGACCCTCATCTCTCTAGAAAAGTTTCAATCGCCGGCGATGGAGTTTACAGTCCAGTTGCCGGCGATACATATTTCCCGCAGTCTCCTATGCCTCAGAACATCTATCTAGAAAAGGATACCACAGATATTTATTTGGATGGAAACGACGGCGATTTGAATCTCTGCTCCTTAATCGACAGCATGTTATTTCAAATATGGGGTAATCTCTGAGAAAATCATTCTTTATTATTGCATCAGAATTTCTTCATGACCAAATACTCCCTATTTTCACAGATTATTATGAAATTTTAGATCCGTATATTTTCCCTTCTTCTTCTCTGTTTAATGTTTAGATCTTCACCCCACATGCATGTTCCTTGATGTGTATTATTAGAAATTTTATTTTAAAAGGTAAAATCTGTTTTTTATTAATATGATTCGAGTTACTAAGCCCACATGCATAGGATCTCTTAGTTGTTTTCAGGAAACTTCCTTCTAGGAGTATTGTAAATTTGTTCTTAAAACTTCAGATCTGTGATTTCATATTGACAAAAAAATATTAAATTTGATTGATTATACTCTATTTATAAATCTGCAATTTAGATTTTTTAGTGATTAAAAAAATGTTGATGTAGTTCTTAACTTTAAAAATATTTTCTGATTAAATCCTTTATGAACCCTAAACCCTTTAAAAAACTTCAAGATTTTATTTTAAATCAGAACTTACGTTTGTCTGATTCTTGTTCTGAATCATGCATTGACCATATTTCTTTCAGTTTTCGTAAGCTTTCTCATTGCGCGGGAGAGAGGACTTCAGGTATCCTGTTTTCAATCCCATAATCTCATTAATTGAAGCACAACAAATTAATATTATAACAGTCATTATGAAATTTTTTGATTCAAATCTCAAAACAGTATATTTTCAGTGTATAACTTAAATGTGTTATTTTTTAAAAACAAAATTTTAATTTTGGTAGCTTATTCAGTCCACGGCTTTTTTGTATAATTTACTAAAAGCATATTTTTGGAACATTAACAATAATACTTCAATAACATGCTTGTTACTCCTATAAAGAAAGGAAGAATTTAATTCTAGCTTTGAATGCTCAAAATCAACTTCAAAGAAGAGGTTGGTTGGGAGATAGAGTAATAAATGTGTAAGTTAGAGGGAAAGACTAATATACGTTTTTTATGAATGTATAAAAAATGTATATTTGCATATTTAAATTGAACAATTAAAGTGGTTAATATTTTCTCTATGCAGTACATGTATGACATTTTCGTATTCGATAAATAACAAATTTATTATATATAAGTTCCGAAATGAAAGTTTCATGTACGATTATGCAAATATAGAAATATACTATTTCCTACCGTTTTCAACGTGAAAGACGATCTCCATAGAATCTCCGCCTCTCGCCCACCTTGGAACAAAGTAAACACGAATAGCTCTTAACTTGAGAATCCAAGATGTACGGTTGTTGTCAAGCTCGGAAATCGGAGTAAACATTGTCCTAGAATTTCTTTGAGAATTTTCGGCCATCTCAAGAAAGCAAAAGAACTCAAATATGGTGGAAGAAGGAATTGGTGTGTTTTAGCAATTTGGTTTTAGTGAATATATAATGGCTTTGGGAATCAACTAATTGAAAGCACATTAAATGCTTGGATTGTGCAAATCTATTTGATTACTTGATTTGATCTAAAGTGTGATGTAAAGTTGATGTGTCACTTGGCTCAATAAAGCCTCATTTGTTTACTTTATAGAGCCTCACACCTAGTGGATTAGACCCTAAAAATAGCTGCCAAAAGTTGTCTCATTTTCGGCCCAAAAACACCCAGCCCATCCGGCCCTTTACTGTAACTGTAGCGCCAAAATGAGCGGGAACACTGTTCACAATGCCCGTGTCTAGATTTGGTTGAAGGTGTTTTTGACCAATTTATATACTTCCGCAAACTGAAAACCCTGCAAAAATGGGCCCCGATAAAGGAGAGATAGAGAGACGGAGGCAGAGATGGAGACGGAGGCAATGAAGGAAATCTACAATTTGCGTTCCAGGGTGGTTTCCATCGCCAAACACACTAAATGTTCCCCGTAATTTTACTTCTCTTTCCTGATTTTTTGTTGTTGTTTTTTGATCGCTTCTCATCGTCTTGGACATTGATTAGCTCAGTTTGGTTAAGGGGAAGAAAACATTTCCCTTTGACTATTACATCTTCTTCATAAGAAAGCAAACATTTACTTACTGATCCTTGTCATTTTTTGTTGGATGTTATGTTAGGGTTTCCGAAATTCAAAAGGAGACAGCTAAAGGCAAAAAACCTGGCAATGATGAGTATGTGCAAGCAGTTGTATTTATTAGCTACTCAATAATAATATGATACTACCGCCGTCCAAGAGTATTTGTCCACTTTCATTTTTACACATCATCCAATACACTTCTTTAATTCATTTTATCTTGTAATTTGTATATTAAAAAATTATAGAAATTATATATTAATAATCTATATGTTAAGACAAATCAAACAAGATCACACATGACTATATTTAGGCTTACACATTGAGAGAATTTGATGAGTCAAAGTGCTTAGATGAACAGTTCCAAAAGTCAAAAGTGGACGAATATAGCGGGGCGGAGGGAGTATTTGCTAATTGATTTTTTTTTGCTGGTACAATATCTATGTGTCTGTTTATTTTATGCTGTAAGAGGATGTTAAGTTTGGAGGTTGTATGGATGGTTCTTTTATTGATGCATTCTCCCAAATATAAATAAATGCAACAAATTAGCTTTAGTCATAAGCAAGGTGGAGTGAGCCTGTCTAAAGAACAAAGCAACACATTGGGAGAAAAAGGGAAGGAGTGGGTACACTGTATTATAACTGGATACATCAATGCTCAATTGATTGATCCAACCACATATGGCCTTATTGTTTAGTTCTTTTTTTCCAGCACTCTGAACACTTAAATGAGTTATGAAAGCAATCGTTCACTTCCTGATCCATGTTATTTTGGTTGAATGTTATGTTAGAGTTTCCAAACAATCCAAAGATCAAGAGGTGGAGACAGCTATAGCCAAAAACCCTGAAGATGAGTATGTGCAAGCAATTCTCTTTATTAGCCATTCAATAATAACATGCTGCTTTCGTGTGGGTGTTAGATATGTGTGTTTGGGTTTCTCATGTTTGGATGTTAAGATTGGAAGTTGTGTGGATAGTTCTTTTATTGTTGCACTCTCAACACTAATATAAATAAAAGCAACGGATAAGATTTAGTCATTCAAGTGATTGATCTAACAGCATACATAGGCACTCACAGAACATTTAAAAAGAGTTGACAGAGCAACCCATCTTAAGTTCACATGGGGCCTAATTTTTCCCTTGTTCCTAATTTCTAGACCCGAACTTGATTGTCGTGGACCTCCTCCTATGACGGGTCGACGTCTTAGGTCCTTTCTGTATAAAAAGCAGCGCGAAAAACTTGAACTTTCAACAAAAGCCTTGTATTGGTACAATAGGGACTGCCGACGGCGTGGGGTTTGTTCCTTTCTCTCATTCTAACCCTGTTTCTGTTAATGGTTACGTTGTATGTGTATTTGATTTGCTGTTGATCTTTACTTTTCTTTGCAGCTTCCCACATACAAGCTTGTGGAGACATTGGGATTGGAAGGCTGCGTTCTTAAACGCGGCCTTACGCGCCATTTCAACTTCAACGCCCGACTGAAAGATGATCCTTGTGCTCCTCTAGAGCTCTTTTTTGGTGAAAGGGTGGTCAGTTGGGAGGGATTGTTGGAAACGCGGATTTCAACTTCAACGCCCGACTGAAAGATGATCCTTGTGCTCCTCTAGAGCTCTTTTTTGGTGAAAGGGTGGTCAGTTGGGAGGGATTGTTGGAAACGCGTTGCTACAAGATGGGGACCGAGTCTCCTGAACCTGGTATTGATAATATGCGTCTGTTGACTGGTCTTTTTTCATGATCCCTCTTGCTCTGATTAATCACAGTATTTACTCGCCATTTTTCGACAGTTTGTGGTTATTTATTGTCTTTGATGAACTTCACATTTGTCGTAATTGTGTGTGTGTGTTATTGTAGCTGATGTTGGACGTAAAGCCTGCAAACTTTGCCGGGAGATTTGTCACCCAAGGGGCGAGAAATATTATGGATCCGTTGTTGGTTGACCACCTACTGTGAGCCAGCCCTCTGTCAAGATACCTTTGTTAGTATTTCTATAGAGACTCTTGATGTGGTCTGGCCCAAGCGTAATATCTAAAATATCGTGCAACTCTAACCAATTAAAAATAAGGAAAATTTACCTCAATAGTACTAAAAAATAGTGATTTTTTAAATGTAGTATCATATGTTTTTTATTTTCCAATATAATACGGAGTACAACTATTCAATATCTATTGGCCATTGTTCAAGTAAAAGTCCAGTGTCACTGGACATTGTTCAAATTAAATATCCACCATCAGTGAACATATTGCCGCCACTAGACATTATTCAAGTATTATTTAGAAAATAAAAATTTTAAATACTACATTTGGAATGAAATATATTTTAGTACTCCGTATCATTTAGTGCAAATTTCATTAAAAACAATGCTATGAATGCATAGAAAAAGATTTTAGCTCATCATTACTCAATACTTTTCACGTCGAGCTTAAACGAAAAAATGGCGGCCGGCGGTGAGCTACGGCGGTTTGCTCTTCTCACTCCAAGGGACTCAATGGAGCTAATATGGACGAATTTGGTTGAGAAATAAAAAGGGTGAAGGTGGTCTTATATACCGTAGCAACTAGCAAGAGAGAAGGGAGAGTTGTGTAGATCCGGCTAATATTATACGATGTCCTCCACTTATGTTAATTATTTTATCTCAATTGGGGTATACTTTTTGGTCTAATTTCATCCAAATTTAAATCTGATTGCACCATTGTGATTAGTCCGCAGAGCTTTACGCAACTATATAATTTTTATATTTATTTGAAATGCTTTTTTGGCATCATATTTCTGAGTGTTTGACTTGACAGAGTCAAAATTGATTTAATTAATTTTATTCAAACATGTTCTCACATTCAACTAATATTATTCAAATTAATGATTTACTTTAATAAATCATTTCAAGAGTTCACATCATCAATCAATTTAATCTTTGTTTGGTTCGTACTCCAGGTTTGCAATCAGACCCACTTACAAAATATTGGATTTATTTCTAAGAGATTTATTGAGTCATATGATATTAGATATTACTCTGTATAAAATATCTTCAGTTTTGGCCCAAAGCCCAACGAAAATTTATTTGAATCAAATTAATTTTTTTATTATATTATAATTCAATATAACTTTTAGGGTATGTTTCGGGGTGTTATAGAGTTTCCAAAAATGTCAATGAATTGATGAGTGAAAGTAGGATTTAATGGCTAGATTAATAATGAATAAATTTGATGTGATAAGTAGGTTAATAATTTGCAGGGGATAAAATTGATTTATTAATAGAAACGAGAAAAGTTTTTTGAGAAGAATGAAAAAAGAAAGAAAAAAGGTTTTCAGGGACGGAGAGAGAATAGTTTTTTGAACCAATCAAATGTTTAGAAATCTTAAATCACAAAATAGTTTTGAAAAAAGAGTACCATCTATATTATTGATAAACATTTATCAAACATTTGTATTATTTAATGTTACAAGGTTAGTGGTTGAAAAATTATAAAAAGTCATTAACACAATTATAGTATCATGATATACAGTCGAGTAGAGGTTTATATACTACGAATTAATTTGGTACCATACAATACAGAATTATGCTTAAAGTTAAAAAATCACATATACTTGACCTGTGCATAATGAAAGCTTGAAAATTTATTTTCGAAAATTCTAAAAAATAGAATCGTGACTTTAATTTAGATAGGGATGTGTAATTCGAGTATCTTCAATGAACTAAGGAATGTAAGCAATTTCAAAGCGGCGCAACTATTTTGGTTTAGGGTTGAGTGAAGGATTATAGTCAAAAATGTGTGCAAACAATTAAGTTTGGGCTGACAATTTGCAAATTACTACCAACTACGTACGAACGACAATACTCCGTATTTGATTGCATTAAACTTATTACTACCTTTCTCCTCACTATTTGTCAATTTTAGTTTTTTTTCTTGTCGATAGTTGATCTATAAATAAATAGAATATATATTGTATAAGCATTAATTAGATAACATAATATTTCAAAAATATTTCATATAATAATTTAATAAAACTATTTTTGTATCAATGTCTAGTATCATTTTTCTTTAATTTGAAGTAAACATTTTCTAATTTTAACCGAAAAAATTAAAGGTAGATAAATATTCAGAGACGAAGGGAGTATTAAACAACACATTATACAACCACCAAATTGGGTTAGCTCATTTATTTCTTGGCACCTGGAAATGAATGGAATGAAATTTAGTATGAGGTTTAATTACTTAGTCCATGGAAGATGACATGTTTATATGAATATATATATATATATATATATATATATATATATATATATATATCGGTCAGAGTAGACCGGCAAAGGGTTTGAAAAAATTGGACACATGAGATTTTTGGGGGTTTCAAATGTGTCTATGTCACGCCATGATAAAGAAACTCCGTATTTTTTTTCCCGCCCCAAGCATTACTTTTCACAAAACTTCTTGTTTGTTTGTAGGGACAATAAATTCGATAAATGGTTAGCATTTTATTTTCAAAATTTGATTTTTAAAAATTTTAAATGACAAGGAGATGTATGTAAAATTCTAATTGAGGTTTGCTGTGAATAATTAGCTTGTCACTACAATAAATCCCTATCATTTTAGTGTGGATTTTAAGCTCTCAATTTGATTTTTATGAAGTTAAAGATAATGTGAAATTCTTCAGTTGAAAGTTATGTAAAAATAGAGAGATATATGAACTTACCACACGTTCCATTTCTCAACAAAATGTAAATTTTATTGTAGGACGTTCAAAAAAAGTGAAACTGTTACGAGTACTCCATTGGGGGATGACGGAGCAGTAGAGAATGAATGTGGGGAACCAACACGGGACAGTGACGATGGGCAGCCGGGGGACGCAGGGAGTCCGGTGCGTAGGGGCACAAGAACGAGACGACCACCGGCATGGCATGCAGACTACGACACGTAGTTATTTTTAGTAGTACTTCTATTACTTTCATTATTATTGTTTTATTTAATAATTGTAATAGATTTTCTTAGGAGAGCGGTCTATAAGCTCCTTCAAGGGTTTTCTTTTCGGTTCTTTCCCTTGACGCCTTTATTGAACCGACAGGTAGATTAGGGTTAGGGTTTCAACTATAAGAGGAGATGTACCCATCGGGATTACTATTGGAGAATAATCAAAAACCCTAATTAGTCTATCTTCTTTACCTCTCTTGCGGCGCATCTGGTGCGCCTATTCTTCTCTTCTTCGTCTCAACTTTCCGGAGCCCGGAGGCGCTCGAAGTCTCTCCCAACCGATACAAGAACGTATCATTGGTGCTCTTGTTGAGTTTGTTTGACCATGTCCGCTTCCCAGAACCCTCTCACGGACCATCTGACAGCAATTGAAGCTCGCTTCAAGGAGTTGCATGACTCTTTGCGGGAGACGGTGACTCAACTGCAGCGTGACTTTGAGACGAGATTGACCCTTCAATCCTCCAAACTCGATGCTCAATATAATCGGGTCGAGGCTCTGCTCATCGCCGGGCGCACCAGCAACCAACACCGCGGCCACGGCGACAAAAATTTGGGTGGTGAGTTCCACGTCGACCGGGGTGGTTCCTCATATACACCCAAACCTAAGCTCGAGTCCCCGAAGTGTGACGGTTCGGAACCGCTGCGTTGGCTGTATAAGGTAAAAGAGTACTTTGAATTCTACGATACTCCGCCGGATGAACGCCTCCGTTGTATCACTTTGATGTTGGAAGGAGCAGCGGCAGACTGGTTTCGATGGCGCATGGAAAACAAATTGATCGACGGGTGGGACGACTTTGTTGACAAGTTTAAGCAGCGGTTCGACCCCAATCAATACATTGACTAATTCGACCAAGTAGGAAATTGGACCCAAGGAGATAATGCACCCAAGGAAATTCGACCAAGTAGGAGTCCCTTTTCCTCACCGGTATTACTTGTCAAAAAGAAGGATGGCACGTTCCGTTTCTGTGTTGATTATCGTGCCTTGAACGCCATCACGGTACCCGATCACTTTCCGATCCCGACCGCGGATGAGCTCTTTGATGAACTAGGCAAAGCTCAATACTTCACCAAGTTGGATTTACGTTCGGGGTATCATCAAATCCGTATGGCAGACCGCGACATTTACAAGACGGCCTTCCGAACTCACGATGGGCATTACGAATTCCTTGTTATGCCATTTGGTCTTACAAATGCACCCTCGACCTTCCAAGCTTGTATGAACCAGTTGTTTGCTCCTTATCTCCGGAAATTTGTCCTCGTATTTTTCGATGACATATTGATTTATAGCGCCACCTTGTCCACCCATCAAGATCACCTGCGTATGGTCCTAAGCACTCTTCGGGACCAGGTCTTCTTTGTGAAACGATCCAAATGCTCTTTTGGCCAGAAATCCATCTTTTACTTGGGGCACCTGATTTCT